TTTCGCTTCCATCAGGCCGTATATGAATCACCTCCATATATTCTCCTCACTGAAGAAAAGGTACTCAAGCATCATTTATTTTAGGCTCGTGCCATCCCTCGGTTCCGGATGTAGCCCGGTTGACCTTTTCGAGGTCGCTTTTCTGAAGCTCTTCATTATTTGCTCTAAAAATCCTTTTGTTTCGTAGGCAAAACAAATGACTTCTTTTGGTACACGTGCTGAACTTGTCTAGAAATTTGTTCCCTGCTAATTAGCGAGCAAAATTTTTCATGTTGATGAGGTGCGAGCTCTTCCTGCTGCTGTGACTTGAGAAGACAAACATGAAAGTTTAGCGATATTTTTTTAATTGTGATGTCTAATTCTGGCACTATAAATCTATATTTCTGAAATTGAATGGTATTTAAAATTCAGATTTAACTATTTTCTTACAAGGAATATATTTTAAAAATAACACTGGAGGAACATCAGTTGTACGGATAATTTGATTTTGGTATATTTACATATCAGTATTTATAATTCAATATGAGGTTAGTTCACATTTTCATGTTACATATGCAATTTGTCCAACATTTGAGATCCATTCAGAACGAGGCTCATATAAATTTCAGAGCAAAGAACCGACAGCTTCATGGGATGCCAATATGGGCAAAAATTAAATTCTTAACAAAGTTTTCAAGCTTTTATTGGAAGATATGCATCAGCTATAACCGAATTAGTATTATAATAAGTCAGACGGAACAACGTTATCTGAATAAATCAATTGAGAATTCCAATGCATTAACATCATCTGAAAATGTCTATTTTCAAATAATTATACTTTAAAGTCGATTTTCGCCCTCCGCGCCAGTGTCCCTTTCGACAAGGTATATCGGCATCGAATAAAAAGTTGAATAGAAATATTAGAAAAATCCTATTATCCACACATCTATCCAATCCACACATCTACCCAATCTACACATCTATCCAATTCTCACATCTATCCAATCCACACATCTATCCAATCTACACATCTATCCAATTCACACATCCTGCATCACATCTAGTCATGCAATAACACATCTATCCAATCCACACATTCATCCAATCCACACATCTATCCACTCTACACATTTTTCCACTCCACATACCCTGCAACAACACAACTACACACCTATACACTACACATGCCACACACCAGGAACTCTTGCTTGCGTGACAGCCTAACCCGTCAAGGCAGACATCACGAGTTCTTATCTCGAGCAAATAATCTGTAGTAATTCAGTGCACCTGAACCATTAATTGTGCATGATTTTGCATATTGCGCATGGATGTTCATTGCATTAACTCAACGCTTTCACACAGTGATTGTGCACCTGCGTGCTGCAGTTCAGCACAACGCTATTTGTACGTACTGTAAAAGTATAAAAGCAAAAAGCCTTGCCTTTACATTTCACAATTTATCACTTCTACAGTCGCACGCTGTAGTTCAGTACAACTTTTTAGCCGCTTTACAGTCGCAAGCAGCAGTTCGGTACCCTATTTAGCAGCTTTACAGTCGCACGCTAAAGTTCTGAACCACTTTTGACAGTTCTGTAGGCTCACGCTATAGTTCTGCACATAAATATAGCTGTTCTACACTCGCATTTACATCAGTTTTACATCAGCACTTCATACGCGTAGTACAGTCTGCGTCTGTGCGTGGTTTTCTACACACATGTGTAACAGTTGACACCTGCCTGTGACATATACGCACATAGTTACGCTAAATCTAGATGTGCGATCATATTTTGTATGTGTCGGATGAACAATCAAGATCCCTGCACACGGCAGGCTTGGAACCCAGCCTGAATTTATACGTATATGGCACACTATGAATATAATATTTCTCTAACGTGAATGACCAACAATCTTTGCTTTATTTATGGCTGCTCTAC